TGGCCAGTAAAAAGCTCCCAGCCAGCCAAGGTGCGTGTGGCTGCTCTATCGAAAGAGCAGTTGACAAGACCTCAGCTGCAACGCCAACAAGCCTGGGGCTTTTGCTCTGTTCCTAGAGACTCAACGCTGCCAGTGCCAGAGAAAACGGAGCTTGGAGAGAGCCGACATGCAAACTAAACAAAATCAATTTCCCGATTAACGAGCGTATGCTTCACAGTGGGGGGTGCTTCCCCCCATGACGCGTGTGCATCCAGAGGAGACTCATAAGGATCTGTGTCTCAAACAGAGATATAAGTAAGTATTAAAAGCACTGTTGTGCTCTGCTCTTCTGCCAGGGGAAGCATCACCAGCTCGTACTTAGACCTCTGCTGAGTGGGCAGGCGGTGACTATCCATGCAGGGAGGCTTGAACGTCTGACAGTCTGCTACAGCTGGGGGTGCCCATCCTCTGTGCTCGCTGGTACAGATCCGAGTCTCCAAAGTAGCGTGCCCGGTACAACAAGCCTTCCTCTGCAAAGGGAAAAGCGCAGTGTTATGAACACAATGTGGAAGGAGACCCCCCAACAGGCCACATCCCACCATGGGCTCTTCTGGGAACAGGAGGCAACTCAACGTTTTTCAAGGCAAGACGAAGCACAGGATGAGGCTGAGGAAATGCCCAGTGCCCTTTAGGCCAGGATGGGCATAAGATAACATATGTTGACAGTTCATCCATCCCAGGGAAAACTTTAGGAACCTGACAGAACCTGCTTCTAGTCCCAGGAGGCTGATGAGGCAGTCTACATAATGGTTACCCCAGCAGAAGAAACTTAGAGGGTCAAAGCTTCGTGCATTGGCCTCATCTGGCACTACCTGGGGCTCTAACAGCCTCTCCTGTGTCCCAGGCACTCAAATCCTACCCTGGCCACTGCTCCAACAGCTGTGATCATCACCTGCTGGGAATGGCCAGGTAGAGAAGTCATGTCATCCCTGGGACTTGGCAAAAAGTTTGCTGCCCTTGCCACACTGTGCTGCCTGGCCAGATCACCTCTCACGCTGTCTGTCTGGGTAGCTGTCCCTCCAGACCCTGCATGCCTTCAGCAGCACACAAGGCAATGTCAGTGCTGCCACCACAGCCTTCTGAGCAGGGATAGGATGTGGGATGGAGGACTTCACGGACTTTTAGATGTGGTCCTCAAACAACTACAATATTACACAGAGCTATCAGAGCCCTCCTGAAAATCAGATGGCTGCAACCTTCCCTCTCCGGAACCTCCAGGGCACAACTCTTGTCTGACCAGTTCTACAGCAGCATTAAAATCCAAACTCCCCACATACTGGATTTGTCACAAAGTCACAGAGTGGAAGAAAAAAGCCAACAACACAGGAAATGTGCTCGCACCGTGTTAAAGTATAACTTTAGCATAACTCAGTCCCCAGTTAAAGACCTTTCCAAAGCTGACCTCATGCAGCAGCCTAGACCCTCCGCTCCTGACCCCACACTACTCACTCTGCTGCTTCTCTTTCCAGCAGTTATTTCGAAGGTTTGCAATGTAGTCATCCTCCACGCTCTTTTCAACATTTTTCAGGTTCGCGCCTGTGTATTCATCTGCGAAGTTCTCAGATACGTAGTAGATGACTTTCAAGTGCTCTGTCACTCTCCTGTGTATGTGACCCACAGACCTAGTTTAGGGAGAAGAGGCAGAACAGTGTAGGACATGCTTCAAGGGCAGAGCAAAAGCTCCCAGCAATTTATAATGCACAATGTGCCACGATAGCAGAACGGTGAAAACATACGTCACTCCTATGCATCCATGGGCTTGAAGGTTTGGAAAGGAGAAGCATTTCTGGTGGAAATGAAATGCCAACACAGGGAGAGAAAACCAACCAGGCCTCTAGCTAGGTAGGGAGAGCTCTGAATACAGACACAACTCTGAGGCAGATTGCCCAAGGCCTAACCCCACTTAAAATAAAGTGTTCACGAGAATTTTCAGCACTAATTAAGTCTCTCTGCATTTTACTTGCTGACGACACCATCATCTGGTTTTGGCAGTGAGCCCCAAGGATGGGTACGAGGCTTGGAGGCTGATGCTTGTGCAGTGCAGGGTGAGAGCAGCCGGTGAGGCAGAATGGCGCCTGGGCAGAGGAGCAGGGCAGCACCAAGGTGAGGGCAGGGCAGGGGCTGCTGCCACAGCTCCCCACAACCTCCTCTCTAAGTTGAACCCAGCCCCCTCTGCTAAGATATCTGCTAACCCCAAGAGCGTCAGCTTCCTTTACCTCATCACATGCTGCAATGAACACTGTGGCTGCAAGAACAAAATTAGACCCGCTCTGTACTCAACCTGCAACAACTAGTACAGAAAGCACTTTCTAGAAGGAAATCTCTTCTTACCCTACCCCCATGGATTTACATTTCAGACAAAGCCCTGTACATATTTTCCTGAACACTTCAGCAAACCTAGAGATACTCACTAAGGTGTGTTTGCAAGCTGTAACACAGGACCTGTGCCCAAATGCTGGATTCATAAGGAACAGCTCCATCTGGAGATGTGCCCAAAGCTTCCCATAATAAATACCAGCTGGCTGCTGCATTAAAAGCGAGCCTGATTCTTAAGCCAGGTATAAACATTAACTCATCCGGCTCGCCCTTCAGTCTGTTATCAGGGTTTACAGGAGTGATTCGAAGACTCCTGCACGTTTCATCAAGGTCCAGCACTCACAGATGAGTGGTGGGTAACTGGATAGACGGAACATGACCAAAAGGCTCTACTGGTACTCTTTGAGGGAAAGGCTAATGCAGTTCCAGCAGTGCCTGCTGGCAGACACAGTCTGGAAGAAGCTCAGCTCACTATTTCACCTGTCCAGACAGGGCCATAAGCTCTCCCAAACTGCATATGCTGCTTCTGTATAACAATGAACTACAAAGGCTACAAAGCATGCCCTCAAAGGAAGAGTACTTAAGCTTGCAGAGCTTCAGCAGCATGCTTGAGTGTAAAGCATCAACGTAAGGGCAGGACCTAGTTCAAGAAACCTGCCACCTGAAGTGATACATGCAATTAAGTCATGCAAATTCGATGAGGTGTTACTGAAGAGCAGGGTGGCACACTCAGGCCCACAGCAAGGGAGGCCTTTCAGCAGAGGGCTAGTTTTTGGAAGAGATTTACAAAGGTAATCAAGTGACAAATGGTTCTTTAGGACTCTACCTTTCTCAGTGACAGCTTCACTATCAAGAAGTGGCATTAAAATCTCTGTGTGCCGTTGAAACCTCACCCGGTTTAAAAGCTTCTAGCCTCCTGCTCACTGGGTTCAGTGCAGCAAGCTCCAGCTTTCTGCTGAACGTCAGCCAAGCACAGCGTTTCGCTTTACAAGAGGTAGCGGAAGGGCTGCCTGCGCGGGTGAGTGAGCGAGCAGCACCGCCTGCCGGCACAGCGCGCCTTGTGCGCCAGAGCTAACACCATTTGAAGTGCCCTGGTCACTCAGGAAGGATGATGGGACTTCTGGATCAGCTCATTTGCTGTGCTTGTCCAAATCCGAACTCGGAAATTGGTTTGCTTGCTGCCACCTGAGCACGCAGAGACAGGGACACCACAGGGAACAGGGAACCAAGCAGCAGAGAAACAGCTGGGACTCGGATGGTTTTCCTCTGACAGCTGACAAGGCTGGAAGCAAATCCCTGCCCACTTAAAAGCTGTCCTCCACTGAATGTCTTCTTGCCCCACAAACCACCTCTTCACCAGTATAAAACAAACTGGTATACATATACATATGCTTAATTTGCAGTCCTAATATCAACTGCAGAAATCACATCTCAATATTCTTTAGATTCTCAGAATAACCCTTAACTGTGCCCTCTTAAAAACCGCTCCACCTTTTGGCTCCAAGCCTAAAGGTCATAGTCGTTACCTTGGACCCAAAAGCTAAACTGCGATTTATAGTATTTAACGTCATCAATAGCAAACTTTGTCACCTGTGAAACTTAACAGGGACCACTGGCTGTACCCAAGTCTACTCTCTTTAAACACATGTAAGGAACTTCCACTGAAAATACATTAAGCTGTTGTCAAGAATGATGCAAGCAGCCAGCAATCAAGCCTGGTTTCCCACTCCTTGTTGGCACTGCAAAGTGAGTAAGAATAGACTCACTTCATTTGTCAGTCAAGTGAGCAGATCAGGGCATTTCCACAGGATCTAGAGTGAAACAGCTTAAAAAATAGGGGATTTCTCTGGGAGTGTCTTTTACTGCACATGACTATCTTTTGTTCCTTCTTCTTTTCCTATGCTGCTTTGTACTAGCCCTAAACTGAGGCTTTCGTGAAGAACAAATCTAGCTTTTTTTTTCACACCCCATCTCAATCCATCCTGCGTATGGGATCTCCGTGCTTAGCTACGGTCTCTCAAAGTCATTTCATCTGCCCCTTTGTAGGACAGACACACCCAGCTGTGGGTATGGGCTGCAGAAGGTCCCTGTCAAAGAGCATCCTCCCTTAGGCAAGTGAGCACCCTACAACCTTCTGTACACCTTCCATCTCAAGACCTGTTTGAGAATGAGGAGGCCTTCACTGATACGTGAGACATCTGGCAACAAGAGCAATGGTGTGATGAGATAAAGCAAAAACAACCAACCCCAAACCCCCTCAAAAGACAGGAAAACCAGACAGCCTCGATCCCTACTCCACCACCCCACCCCACCCTCCAGAGCCCAACACCCTCCCCAGCTAGGTAAGTTTTAGAGTAATGGGTACTAACGGCCTGTGGCTCAAACTGTAGGGTGGGCTGGAGACCATCATCTGGCTGAGAGCAGACACAATGATCAGGATGAGGATAGGCATCAGCTGGACAAACAACCCAAGGCCACCCTGAAGGAATAGAAACACACAGTGGAGTGCCACCAGTACACTTGCACACAAGGATCCCATAGCATTGCCCTCTCTCCCTCCCAGCCTGAGACAACCTTGATTCTCCTGCTTTTCACAGGCATTTGACATAGGAGGCACTCCAAAATAACTCAGGGGAACTCAGCAGCCCACAGTTCCCACCCAGGAAGGGAAGCGTGACTCTGAAGGTCCAAACCCACTGTCCCTTCTCCAAATGTGACAAAGGGCAGAGGGGACTGGCAGGGGGAATGGGTGATTCTCAGAAGCCTCATGCCCATATTTTGTTTTTCTAGAGCATGTGTTTTCTGTCCTGCTTGTGCTAGTGAGCAGAATCTTCTCCCTGCTTCAGCATCAGATGAAAGTAATTCCCCCTCTACCTCACCTCCTGAGCCACCCCCATTCCAGCAGAGTACACTTTCCCCTTTAAGCTTGAGAAAAAATATTGAGGGAGGTTTTGTTCTTTGTTTGTTTGTTTTTAAATATAATTGGCTATCCCCAGAAAACGTTAATCTTCAATATATAACCCTGGTTTCTTAAACAGTAAGTCCCTCATTCTCACTTCTCTAGACCAGAGGACTTGGAATGCTGGAGATAAACTTAGATTTCCTGTGATGGGAAAACATAAAAATAGCTCATGCTATAAAGTACCTTCCTTGGTTAATTAAGCATCACAGATTAGAAACACTGCGTCTTCAATACTGGAATAAAAGGGAGAGGGAGCCACAAGCATCCATACTATCTGAAAAGTGCGTTTACCCTTTGAAATTACAGAATTAAATCAGAAATTAAATGCTTAGTCTGTGGTAAAGACAGATACACTTTACCGGTACCATCTTATTTCAAGGTGGCGCTGTTTCAAGACATACCAGCGTTTTCCCCACTGGATGACAGTTACGCAAGTCTGGAAGAACCACCAGCAGTAAATTAAACTGCACCTTGGTGTAAATTCTGAAGGCAGCTCACTTCCCACGACTCCAGCTTTCCGTTCAGGGGGGTGGAAGCAAGCAGGACTGTTTCACAAGACGGCCACACCAACTAGCTCACACTTCATGTGTCAGAAAAACCTTTAGACTCCCAGCCCCGCTCCTGTTCTCCACTTACATCACCCTGATGTTCTCGTCTGTCCTGCCTCTGATGGTAGGTATATCGCATCCTGCCATTGCTGTACATGTGAACGTTACCTACAGGCAAAAGAGAAGGGTTACACAGAAGTCAGAGATGGTGCTGGCTAGCCAGGAAGGAACCACAAAAAGTGTCCATATTCTATGTCAGCCCCAGCAATAAAAACACAGCAGAAAAAAGTAGACAGGGTGCTGGCAATGGCAAATTCAGGAATTTTAACTTTGAACATTGTTGAATAGGCTTGATCTGTTTCTTTGGTTTGGGCCACACTCAGCAAAGATAAAAGATATTGTAAAGGAATCCATGCTGTGCTCACACTTAGATCTGATCTGCCATTACCACCACTCTCAGTTCAGCTTGCTTTACATAGCCAGCAGCATGCCAGCCAGTTCAGAGCTGGAAGGAACACACCATATCCGGCTGGATGGGCTGCTTCAAGGCTGGAACTGGGATGTCTCAGTGAAGTGGTGATTTGACAGACTTGGGCTATTCCTGAGATCCCTGCATATATGCCAGTGTACAAGGTACACATCCATGGTTTTGGTCAGCAGGCCACATGGTCAAAGCCCCTGATTCAAACCACTCCATCATGCTGCCCTGAGAGGTGGCAGGAGCTTTAGGGTGAAACAGATACAGGATCCCACAGGAGACTGATACAAGAATGCATACAAAAAAAAAAATCTATTCATCAGCTGAAGCCAACGTTGACAAAATGAGCTATATAAGCCACTGCCGAAAAAGAAGTATTCCTAAGGTGTACTAAGCAGATATGCCTGAAGGGGAACTGGTGGTGGGCACAGAGATCCATCTATAGGATTTTGTAGCATCATATGAAAATTTCAGGTTGGAAGTGATCTCAAGAGGTCCAACCTCCTGCTTAAAGCAGGATCAGTTCTGTAGAGAGAATATCTTGTGCAAGCCTCCTCACTTCAAAGTGAATTTACTTTAGATTAAAACCAATTACAAAAAGAAATAATTTTGGTAGTTCTTCCACCCTAAAACCAGAGCTCTTCCATGTCTAGTTTTAAATGTCAAAGCTGAAAAGGGAGACCAGCTGAGAAAGCAGTCCTGAATTCTCTTGGGGCAGTGAGGAAAAGGAAAAAAAGACTGAACTAAAATAAGAACCTCCTGTTTCAAAACTGGAGTAGCTCTAGCTGTCTGACAGACAGAACATGAATGCCGCAAAAGGCTTCAAGATGACTTTGCAAGTATGTGACATTAGTCTGTTAATTCTTACATACCAGGTAGGAAAGAGCTACCAGAGTAAATCTTCTCAATTGAAACAAAAATATTTATTTCTCCAAGTTGGTCCACAGAGGTCAAATAACCACTGCCTCCACTGCCAGTCAAAGGTGACTAGAGCAAATACAAGGGAGTCTTATAAAATACACTTATCCTTGTATTAAATCTGTCTTTTTGATTGGAAATGATCAAGTGAAGGAACAGTCAATCGGTTCTTTCCTGCTCCCCAAACCATGATCAACACTATGGATAGACAGGATACAAATTTAATTTTCAATTCAAGAGGTTTAAATTAAGCTCTAGGAATAACACTTTCCTCTTTTTTATGGGATAAAGTGGAAAGAAGGAAGTGGACACTGATCTCAGAGAAACTGCTTCAGCTGCATGGCAGAGCAGATACAGATCAAGAACAAGGCCCAGGCATTACCATAGGTTGTTCTCATAAAAAGATTCAACTTCTGAAACCACCAGGCAGAAAAGCTTTCTTCAAAATAGGATTATTTTTGCAACTAGTCTTAAAACAAGCCATTTTTTGATCTAACATTCAACCCAATCTAGTAACAGCTGATGTTGCCAACATGCAAACAAACACCTCAAGTTGCGAAGAAGTCCATCTCTGATGGTGTTACCTGCTGGTTGCTGAGTTCTCCAAGGACTCATATGTACAACTTAGAAAACTCTGGGTGTTTAGGTCATGTGTGAAGGAGAACTTTCACCAAACTCAGCAATCCTTGCACTGTCATACAAATCACTTCTGCATTGTTGCTCTGTCAAAAGCATTGGGTCCCATTCAAGAGATTAAGTTTTAATGTGCTTACTAGAAGGAAAACCACCACCAAAAAACATGTTGAAGAGGTCCTCGGGGGAGATGTCTGCCTCAAACCCGCGGTGGAAGTCCGAGTGACTGTGTCCATGCCGAGCTGGGTTGAGTTTCTCATCTCCAAACTGGTCATACTGCTTCCTCTTCTCCGGGTTGCTCAATACTGCGTACGCATTACCAATGGCTGAAATATTGACAATAAGGAAGCAATTAGCTTCTTTCTTCTACAGATAATACATTTAGCCCTGCAAACTGCCAGGACTTGCCTTTCTCATTACACAAATGAGATTCTCAACTACCCATAGCTTTTCAACAGGCTACTTCAGTGACAGAGCACTAGCATCTGGCATGCTTCTCTGGCAAACACAGACAGAAGGAAACCACAAGAAGAGACTCAATTAAAAGAGTCTTAATTAATTCAAATGAAGAAGTTATGATATGACTGGTATAAATTTGGTATATGTCCCTAAAGAAACCTTCTCAGATGAATGAAAGGAAATACTGGTAACAGAGCAGCTACACATTTGACTTAAACTTTGAACAACTAATGCCCAAATCCTTCATCTGTAAGCAACTGTGTAGGAAAATACAATTTCAGTTGACAAATTTTATTCAGAAGTGGCATTAAGGGAATTTAATGTCATAGCCTAAAACCAGAACTGCAAAGAATTTAAATAAGGGCTAGATCACTGAAAGAGACTTTTAAAACCTCCCATAAAAGCTAGTAAGAAAACACTGGCTAGAAGCTATGTCCCTCAACTATGAATTACAAAATTTCCAGATACCAAAAATAAGGTGCATGATTATAAGGACTGTTAGTGCCTGTGACGGTAGAAATGTCCTGGAGCTAAAGCCCTGCCAGTTCCCCAGGTCGCTCTCCTTGCAGTCTCAGCATGTTTGAGCCTTTCTAGCAGAATGTCTGCCTGCCACCCTCCTATTTCTGTACTCTTCTGTCGACACGTTCCAGCTTACCACTTCCCCTCTACACCAACCTACTCAAGAGCCTCCCTACGTGACTTCAGAGCCTATCCCTCTCCTCCCTGTGTCGCAAGGAGGCAGAAATGTTCATGACAGTAGTTGCCTGGTGTATGAAAGGCAGGGGAAGAAGTGATAGAAAAGGGAGATAAATGTCCTTTGGAGGAGATTAACTCCAAGATCCAACATTTTGCTGGTAGTCTGATCGAGGTGTACAGTTTCTTCTTAGACTAGAGATTCGGAGTGTGGAGGATGTAATGTCAGTACACTTGTTCTCCTTCCTGGTTATAATTAGTCCACACAGAGCAAACGCTTCTACAAACAGGCAATGAATCTGGATGCCAAGAACTGTCTCCCAGCATATTAGCTTATTCTTCCAAACTGTGTGGTTAAGCTATGAAAACGGAGCAGTTCAGGGTTTTGTTCGTTGTCTTTCTGCTGACAAAGCCCAAGAAACATCTCATTCTAGATCAGGACTTTAGCTCAAAGTTTCAACTCTTTCTTCAGTATCAGCCAAAGGTAGTGATGCATTTCTGCCAGAAGACAGACTGCAGCTAACTGCAATGATAGACTGAGACAAGGTCTCTGGACAAGCCTTAACACTTTATCAGCTGTCACTGGGAAGACGAATGCTAAGACTTCAGATAGCACATCAACATAAGAAAAGATTAACTAAAATCCCCATAGCAGTGCACATTTCCCCCTTCACCCTCTGGAACCAAACAGCTGGACTCCAGTGAGCCCTGCAAATTAGGAGCTCAGCTCAGGGGCTGAAGGACAGGGGAATCAATGAGGCAAGGCTTGGAGGAGAGATAACCTGGGAGCCGATAGCTCTGCACTGAAGGATAAAGGGCACCTTGCTTAACACACGACTTCTGGCACGTAATTGTTATCACAGTGCTCAGCAAACATCATTATTTAAGATTACAGGTGAAGAAACCTGCCTTTCGCCACTTAGCAGGGATCGAAGGATAAACTATCCAACAGCGGCTTACTGCACATGCAGCATAGACAGATGTCTGCAGATGCTCACTCTTTAATCTGTCCCCCATATTAAAACAGGTTCTCCCAAGTAGCTGGGGGTCAGCTCATTATTTGCTAACAGCAACACACTTATCAGTTAGGGATTTAAGTCTTAAAAGTCTTGAACAAACCTTACATAAGACTTTTACTGCTGAATTCATGTCTACTAGAAGCATACCCAAATACTGTATCAGTACACTCACACCAGACTAACCTTGCTCCCTGCTCCAGCAGAAGTCCCATGCATTTCACTCCCAAAATGGCCAGAATCAGATGTTACTATTTAAATGCCTTAACACTGCAAAACCAGTGCTGTACAGCTGGCATCAAGAAGTTCTGCATTTTGCAAAACTGTAATAATCAAACTTCCACAGTTTGCAAAGGAAAATAAGGTTTTATGTTCCAAGCAATAGCAGTTCTCTTGGAAAATTACTCCACTTCTAAGGTACCTTATTATCTAGAAACATCCCTGCTGCATCTGTAGAGAGGGCCTGAGAATTGGGCTCTTCTCATCAGAACTGAAGCTCCTGGTGACCCTTTTTGAGTTCTGACTGGGCTCAGTTTATGGCTGATGCAGTTTCACCCTAAAAATTTTCACTTGGGGTTTCTATCCACCAACTCCATCTGCAGCTTTTCACAATGGTCAGGTTCTGAGTGCTTGCTTAGAAACCTGAAGGCTTACTGGCTGCCTGAAATTCTCAATGAGTGGAAGAGTCTAAACAAAAGTTCTAAAGAAGGTGAGTTTCTTGCCATTGGGCCTCCCCAACAATGTTTCTCTCAAAGGACTCAGGAACCCTCTAGTTCTGAATAATTCAGTGGGTCTCCTGAATTTGTCAGTAGACAGGGGTGCACCCCAGCACCTGCTCCATGATGGACAGCTGCAGGACTTAGAACTTCTCCCTGCCAGGTGAATGATCCTGCATCTCTCCAGAGAAGATGGTTAACATCCCGAGGGAATTTCCTTCTGAGCAGTGTGGCAGGAGGATGAAGCAACACACAGGAAGAGCTGCTAGGAGAAAAGGAAGGCAGGCTTCTCCTTGTCCAGCTAGCACAGGTGAATCCTACTTGGGCCCACCTGTGTTTATTATTTTAAGCTCATACTTTGTTCGTAATACAACCAGCTCAGAAGAGAGACAACTTTACAAAGAGCTTTGTTTCACTCTACCTGGCTTGTGAGGTTGTTTTTAAGAGTCTTTGCTACCCCAGCTCAGCACCATTGGCTGATAGATGAGGGCACATCACAAAGTTGGAAATGTTCTTTACCTTTAAATGCCTCTGTAGCCCCTGGTGCGTGGTTCTTATCTGGGTGAAACTTCAGTGCAAGTTTCCGGTAAGCCTTTTTCAAGTCCTCATCAGAAGCTTCTCTGTTTACTCCCAGAATTTCATAGTAATCTTTGCATTGCTTTACCCTGCCAGCAGAGAAGGGAAAAAACATGGACAGTTAGTTTCAGCTGTGAAAAGCACTTTGCATTGCATACATCAACTCTGCAACATCTCACACATCACAGTTTCAATCAATGTTGTTCAGTGAACTCTGGTTTAGTCAGCTCTAATTCCTCACGGGGTGAGTCAGTTTTTTTCACCAACTCACTCCTGCTGTGCCTGCATTACTAGCACACAAACACTCTCACAGAACAAGTCAAGCCAGTAGAGGTAGAAGGGCCTCTCCTCAGGCAATTATATCACCCACAGAGGAATGTGATTGGCAAATAAGCTTCAGATTCATCATGCTCACGTTTTGGAAGCTATGTGGGATTGGCAGGGCATGATCTGATGGATAGCTGGGCTATTGGTTCCCTCGTCCCCCAGTCTCCTCATACTCAGTTAATTCACAGACCCAAAAATAACATCAACTGAATACTAGATGAAGAAAGAGGGAGCTGCCCAGGCCTGTGTGCACAGTCAGTTTGTTCTGGGTACACTCACAGCCTAGTGATGGTTTCTCCTTCTCACATGACTTTGATGAGACAGAACACAGCTTGCTGGGGTTTTGGGGATATGGATGATGTAACAAGCATCCCCATAAGCCCATTAGCCATAGCAGCTCTTGTGCAATTCAGGCCATGTCCATAACCTTAAACAAAGTTTACCCAGTGACTGCGCCTGCAGTTCAGTCCTTCAACTTCCAGTATTTTCAAATGGTAGAAAGGAATAAAGAATGGCTTGAAACAGGGTTTGGAAAACAGATGACTGGATAAACATGCCCTGGGACTTTCCAGCAGGAGCTTTAGAAGTCTATCATGCTAATAGAGTGAAGCATCCTGCAGCAGACTCCTAGCTTATTGGGCTCTAGGAACAGAGTATCATCAGGAGAAAGAATATGCCCTGTCACTTGCTACTAGACCAAGGCTCAGAGCAGGAGGGCTACCTTGTGCAAGCATGTGCATTGACTTCCACCTACAGGATCTCAGGAGCACATGGGATTTTCACAGCATTACTGAATAACACTAAAGCAAACATTAATGTGAAGTCCACGAGATGAATGCATCCAAAATGCCTCTTTGGACCTCAGCCAGGAAGAAGCGTACATGCTTACAGCTCAAGCCCTCATACATGCCTTTGGGGGGAAATCTCATCCCTCACAGACCCAACCCAGATGTCTCCCAGGGCTGGTGTAGCTATAAATCCTCCTAGTATGCTTTTAACAGCCAGGCAGCTAAAACCCACTCAATATAGTTCAAAGCTGAAATCTTTAAACACTGTGGAAAACTGGACAGTATCACACAACCAACTCAAACAAACTGCAGGCTGAAGTCATGGAGAGCTGTGCACACACCTCTTCACTGCATCCACCTGGTCCTGAGTGTAGCCCTTGGGGGCCTCCCCACCAGCCTCGCCGTTGGCCGATGGGAAGTTCCCACTCATTTTCCTGAACTGAGGGTTTGTGGACTCCCTGGACTGGGACTGGCCATTGGCTGATTGCTCGTTCTTGTTGAGTGATTCAAGCAGAACTGAAACAACAAAAAGATGACAAGAAGAAGTTAAGAGACCATTAAGTTTAATCTGCCCTCCCAACTCTTCCATAAAGAGAACCCTCTTCATCTCTGCCACCACTCTAAGGCGCCCCATCCTTCATTAGAAAGTCCCTCACCTTTTCATCCAAGGAACCCTTGAGCTCCTGCTGCTTCTTGCCCAAAGAAGCTACTGCTGAAGATACTGCCTCCTTCTCCCATCACACATAACCTCCACCAAAACCCCAGGCCTACCCAGATGGACAGTCCGGGAGCCACAACGGATCACCAAAGCGGTGCAACCTTGTCCTCTTTTTTCCTTACATCTCTCCTTAACAGTGAAGCATTTCCACACTTGTTCTCTAGCACATTATAAAGCATGTATTCTTCTATATCTCTTGCCTTTTAGAATCTACTGTGCTGAGCAAATTATGTGACAATGCCATATCTTTAGAGAGCTTAGAAAATAATACTGTGGGA